TTTATACCTTTTGCAGAAAGTGAAAAAAAGTATGGTAAAAGAAGGAGGAAAAATAAAACTGAAGATATATTTTACACTAGATAATGAGCTCTGTAGTTATCAGGAACTTACTCATTTTATTATTCTTGTGTTTTTGAGACTATAGATAATCAGTTTCTTCATTTTAAAAGTAAATATACAGATGCGTTGGGTAATACACTGATATTCACAAATATGGTCTAAGACTTTACAGAAAGTGCAATCTAAAATAGATGTTAGTAATTAAAAGATAGACTGATATGTTACATTATACAACCAAGACTAAAATATAGGAAGACTTTCTTGTAATTCTTTCTTCTGTTCAGTGTATGTGCTATACAACATAACAGACATGTGCATTAGCTATATGTATTTCATAAGGATGAAAAAGACAAAGGTTAGTTTATTCCAAAAACCAGTTTTTTTTACTTTCAGTCTTTTCACAGCTGCTGCATAATTGTGTAAGCTGTAAGGATACAAATTTACAAGACATATAAATATGAATTTGATGTATTGGGACCAAGACTGTATCAAGTGCTCCAGTAGGTTCTGTGATTTTCATACTTGCTTCCCATTTTAGCTGCTTTAAGTAACTGATCTCCTTACAAGGTGCCAGAAACATGTTATATTGTATATACCTGTCAGATCCATTGCTCAGAGCCTTTCTAAACTTCCATACAAAAATTTTGAATAAATGAATACAATATACACTTTAAAAATTAAAGTTTTATTACTGTGACTGTTGGTTATATATTTCCTATCCCCAAATTATCAGGAATCCACAAGGAATCATAGCAATGAATTATCTAGCAGATAGTAAATATTCAAATACTAGTTGAAGAAATAAATTACTCTAATGTTTGGGTATGTTCCTGAGTTAGCAACTTCGTGGTGATCTGCAGTTTCACTGTTCTTCCTTTTTTAAAAACATTCCCTTATGTTTCTATATGGTCCATCACTGTTTGAATTGCTGCCTGTTTCTCTGTTTGAAAATCTAACATCTACTACATGTTTTTCAATTATGGTTATCTAAGCTCAGGCTTAACCATAAGCAGATCCATTTCTGTCTATATGTTGCAGAAATTTTCTTCTTGAGATTACCCTATTATCAGAAAGAAATTCACTCAGGGACAAATAGTAGAGTACCTGGTGAAAGAAGTATAAACAAATTGAAGTTATTTTTGTTCTGTAATAAGAATACTGGGCAAATAGTTACAGGTGTTGGTGTAGAGGCTGCATGATGTCAGGGCAGGCACCTCTGCTAGTCTCTTGGCCTTTCTCTCTTGGCTGAAGGGTGGCTGCTATAGCTCTAGACTTGTTCAAGTTGGAAGGAGAGGAGGGCGAAAGGGAGCGATGAGTCGGTTATTTCCCTTCAATAAAGAAAGCAAAATCTCTTCCAGAAAAACCCTAACAGACTTCTGTGTATACCTCATTGACTTGAACCCTGTTACACAGCAACCCACTGCTGAAACAGAGGCAGAGAAAAGGGTGGAGGCGATAGGTTTGCCCTTCACTTCCCTCATTTTAGCTCAGAAAGATATCCTGGCTGTTCCCTTCATCCATACAGTCAGAGCTTAGTCAGCTTTCAAAGCTTAATTTTTTTTTTACTCTCAGAAACAGAGCCTTCTTGTTTCCTAAATGCTTTTATGAAACCTAAACGTTTCAATGACCTTCCATGGATAGAAGACCTGCTCTGCGATTATAAACAATCTTAAGCCACTTAATAAGTGAGTTTCTTAAAACATTTCAGGGTTTTGACATAAAAGCTGCTACAGTATCCCAAGATAGCTTAGGTACATTCCTATTCCAAGTGTGCTGTTTACTATATATTTATTTATAGTACAAATCCTTGAAGCTTACTTGTGATTTCTTTACTTATTTCACCATGGGCCAGTAATGAAAAATGGACATATTAGCATGAGACGGCCAGCCACTCATCACATAAAATAAACAGGATAGTATTTTGATATTTTGCTCTCAACTTTCATACATGGTAAACAGCTTTCTTTCTCTGTTTCTTTTATATATGATGATAATACATGTGATTCTTGGTATATCATTTAAATAAAATTTTGTCATAATCACCTGATATTAAAAGCCACCAAGGCTTATGTATGTCACATAAATGTACTGGTAGTTGAGACCCTTACGAGTTTTACTGGTAATGATAACAACCACTCATCCCAACACAGTGTCTCCGTAATTGCTGACCTTCACTAGTTTGCTGTTAACAGGATTTGGAGAGCTGGGCTAACCCATAACAGATTAATGTTTAGACTCAATTCTTTTGCCTTACCTAACAGCAAAAATGTAAGCATTTCTTTTTCATCCCATAATGCTCTCAAGAACTGCAGTACATGATAAGGCCAACGATTGGCTTAATATTACCTGCATATTTCTTAAGGGTGAATCTGTAACCAGTTTCAGAGCCAAAAACAAAAGGGCATAATTTGATAAAAATCTTATTGCCTGATAGCTCGCAGACATCTGTCAGCAGTTTTGGTTTCTTTTAAAGGGCAGCACATGGCTGACTGATCTCATAGTAGGATTTATAAGTATAATTATCACCATATAATTCAACAAATCACTTTTATCACTGAAAACCTAAAGCTTTCAGATTTTTACTCTTCAGTTGTTGAGTTCTTAGGGAGATAGGCTTCTATAAAATGAATTTTGATCCCAATAGATGAAATTTAAGTAATTTAATAACAAATAGAAATAATGATTTCAAGTCTTTAAAACATTTAGGTTTTGTTTGGTATTTCAGATACTGCTACAGACATAAAAATGGCATCTGGACCTTTTAGTATCACATTGCTTATCAGCATCAATAATTAGTTGTGCTTATTAACATGAAAAAAATTAACATGCGTAGCTGATTGACTATTAAGGTAGATTTGCACACAAATAAAACTGACTTACAGAGGCTGAACAAAGCTTCAAATAGGGCTCCTTTTAGAGCAGCACTGTTTTCTAAGCGCATTCCCTTATAATCCAGCATGTACAGACATTTCAAGAAAATAACCGAGCTTGAGTCTACCTCTCTCATAAGGTTATTATATGCATAAAAAGAGACATTTTATGTAAATTAGTGAGTACAATTCCTGCCACATAATATGCACCTGATAACTTATGGTTATTGCAGAGAAGCTTATTTCTTAGTTACTGGGTAGAAGTACTTTGCTTTTGAAATAAGAATACTAATTTGGAGCAAAATAAGAAAAAGAACAAAACTTACTAGCACAAATGCATATACCTGTATTAAAGGTTCCTCAATTAATTGCTATCTGATCTAAAAGGAGTTTACAGAATGGTGATAAGATGACTGAAATGGGAAGATAGCAGAACTAGAGACATTACAAAGATGTATTTCCTTAAATATTAAACAGATACATAGAGAGTGCATATTTTATTTCAAAAAATGGGGGACTGTACATGAACTGGAGAAGTTTGAGTTTTCACGGAGCAGGCAAAACTTGCAGAATGGAGGGATACCAAGTTAGCAGAGGCCTGACCAAGTGTGCCTATGTAGTCCAGGACTAAGAGGCAGAAAGCTGAATGGGACAGCTGTGGAGTTAAATGGAGAGCAGAGGGTCCTGACCATTATATTTAGAGTAGCCCCGAAATATATAGACAACACGATCATCCATTTATCCTTTCAGCCTATTTATTCCTTCATATCGATTTCATCCTGTAATTATTTTCTATTTCTATTTACTTAATTTATCATCTTTCTCCCCAACTATATTATAAGTTCTATTAAGGGAGAGTCCTTGTCTATTTTCTTCAACATCCTATTCAAATATTAAGACATACCTAGCATTATACGAGGCATGGAATAAAAAAGCCAATGTTCAAAAAATGAAAATTGAATTAATAAGTTAATAAATATGAGCTGAAGATTAAAGGATTAATTCTTTTAACAGGTTTTATTGGGAAATATGTGGAATGACAGTATCAGGTATTAATCAAAGAATTCCGTGACACCCTCACCCCACCACATTGTCTTTTACCATAGAATCGGGCTCCCTGAGTTCTCACCTGCCGTAAGGAGTCATCATGGCTCATAATGGAGCCAGAGTGTGACACATCTTACCTTTCAAATTTAAATCCATGGTTCAAGTATAAGAAGGAAAGACTTGTGAGAATCTAATCATTTGGGGGGTTTCTCTCCTCCAAGCTAAATAAAGAATCTATGGGCTTGGGAATAAAGACACTGTAAGCCAGCGTACAGAAGTTACTAGGGATTGAGACCAATAGGGAGTGGTGATGATGAGGAAATGACTAACTAGACTGGCACAAATTATATGGCCAGAGAATTAAATGATTTTCAGATCAATCAGTAGATCTTACCATGGAGGAGTAACAGTGGCCAAGAACCAGTTTCCCCTTCCTCTCATTGCAATAACATTACATAAGTGCTCCAGAACATATGTGCCACCTGAAAAAGAAATGAAGGATGGAAGGAATGAATTCTAAATTGGCCTAGTGTACTAAGAATTGTCAAAATGGAGCTGGCCCTTATGGGAAGGGAAAGAGCTCTATTCAGAAATGTATACAATATGCAAATAGGTTCAGTAGAAGAGACAAATGCAAGCTTTTCAAAGTTTATTCTTGATGTTTCTCAAAATTTACTATGATGGGACACTATATAGGCACAAAGTAGTTATACCTTAAATAAGAATGCATGTATGGATACACCCCCACAGATACACAAAGTTCCAGTATATTTCTGTTTTAATCAGTAAGAATTTTCTGTTGTTTTAATTACCACTCAGTTATTCCTTGGTCTTGACTACACTGCTTAGCAGGTGAGAGGTACTATGTTGCAAGTTATCCATCAGTATTTCACACTGGCATGTTGGTGTTACAGATCACTCCACAATGGTGAAATAGAATCTTGGCAACCCAATTTTACCATTTGTTCTGATTATGAATCCAAAGCACTTCTCCATCCACCCATCATTCACTCAACAATTATTTCTCACTTTTAAAAGGAAGCAAGAACTTTTCCTGAATTTATCGACAATTTAAGTAATATCTCCTTGGCCAGATAGGAATTATATACCTCCCCTAGCTCCAAGAGAAACTAAGAAAGAGATTCTTGCATCCTCTATAGCAGAAGGCTGCAAGGAAGAGGGTTAGGAATTGTCATGTAAACAACGTCTACCATAAAAATTAATGAAAAGAACCTTAGGTTAAAACAAATCTGCCTAACCAAATCTTAGCTGACTAGTTCTTTGAGATTACTCATGACTCCATATCTTTTGGCTTCCCCATTTTCTTGCTGGACAGAGAAAAAAATATAAGGAGAAAAATAAAAATGAGGAGACTGATACAATTTCTAAACTTTTGTGCAAAGTGCAAAGTCATACTCTGAGCTATTTCCTCTATCCCTGGACCCACTCTCTTTTATTACTAAAGTGCATTTTTCTCTAAGAGACTTTCAAATTGGAGAGATCTTTAAAATATATGAATTTGAAAGGTGTGGCTCATTCCAGCAACTCTGTCCAGAACCATAAGAAGCCCAAGTCATGAGGAAATGAATAGTGCACGTTGTCTGCTCACCACCTCTACCAGATCACCCCCTTCTTTCATGTCTCCACCTCTCCCTGAGTATCTGCTTCTCACAGCTCAATCTCTGACTTGACCATGTGAAATTAGTTGACTAAGGCTGTAGAATGAAAGTCTTCAATTGGAGACACTGTCCATGAATCATTGATTAGATATGCCATTGAGTATATTTGAAAGTATAATGAGGATCTATATGGAGACTTATTCTTGTCCCAGTCTTTCAAAGACATTGTGTATGACACATGTTTGTAAGTCATGTACTGTGTACCAAGCATGTGTCCCTGAAATTAGTCTTTGTTTAGGCACAACCATAATGTAACATCTGAAAATAAAGTATAGATGGAGTTACTTTAATTATCTCTGATTCTTCAAATAATAAATTAAAACATCTGAAGTTCCGTATTTTAGAATGAAAGGTGCTTATTAAACTAGATATCTGGATTTCTTTATTTCAAAAACTGAACATTCTTCAGTACCTAATCCACGTAGAATACTTCTTCATATTCATAAGGATGCTTTCTTTACAAATGTAATTACTCAGTCTTCAAACGCAAGATAGCTCTAATTCTAAGTCTCTCCTTAGCCTTATATTTTTCTGCTATGGTCTTGAATACTAATTTTTGAAATATTGAACTCCTATTAGTCAACACAGCTCAAATGTGAAAAATCTGTTAACACAATTAATCCTACACTTCTTAAATAATACATCTATCCTTGTAACTTGTCTTTTAGTCATATAAGTCATCAACTAATTTCATGATAATCACTCATTGATTCCTCCCCTCTCTCTCTATTTCATTTATAGCAAGTTTTGAAAGTATCTATGTTATTTAGGAAAAATGAGTAGTAGTCTACACTTACCAACATCGTGACCAGGAAAGAGCTCAAATCTTTACACAAAAATCATGGCTTTTTCTCTTTTAGTCATATGAATTTTCACTTTCAAATCTAACAAGTAAATTCATATAATTACCTTGTATTGCTTAGATCTGTGCAGCACTTCTCACAATGACTCTGAAACTTCAAGCTTTTAGCTGGCATGTGACAGACGCAGTCCTATTCTGCTTGTTAGATTAACATTAGAAAGCAGAATTTGCATTTGGCCACCAGGCCTTTACTCATCAAATCAGCAAACAGAACTGATGTGGAATAATAATGGAAGAGCTGGCTTTTGGAACAGAAGACTAAAAGGGATTTTTATAAAACATGCAGTTCACGTTTTATGAAAAAATCACAAAAGCCATTAAATACTGAATGTATCTTATTTTTCATGTCGGCTAAGGTTATCATTGTCTTTTATAGGACATTCATGATTTTCATGCTACAAGTAATGTTGTTTAAAAATTTTTGATAACCGTTTTAAATGCCAGTCATGTAAACAGCATTCCTCGTCTTTAGATAAAATCCTATACTCTACCTGTATATTTTGCACATTTTAATATGTGGGCTTGAATTGGAGAATTTTTTAAGACTGCTGTGAAATGTGATCCTAGAAGACTTGCACAAAAATAACAAATGCTAAATATGATTTTTATGTATTAAATGCATAAACACCTTTTTTACATTTATTTCCATGATATTTTGATAGATTGAAAGTACTCCAAGGAAGAAAGAGGTTTTTAAGACTTTCTTATCAAAAATCAACTTAATTATATAGTTAACCCCTTTCCATGTTAATTTATATAACTACTTGAAGTGTCTGTGTGCTTCTCTATCAAAACCTAAGGTAACATAGTTTATCCTTTGAATTATCAAAACTACCAACAATCCCCTTTAAAAATTAGTTAATACCACTTAGAATATTCACAAATTTGGATTTTATAGTTGGAAATAAATAGAATGATTAGGAATTTTAATTGAGTGGACCAGTCTTCAAAATGATCATCCTATCTTGAAGTTATCTTTTATTTCCCTGTTTTCCATTATATTTTTCTACCTTGATTCATGCATGTAGATATGTTGCCAGCCAAGTTGAGTTTGTTCTCCTCAGTTCTTGTGCCTGAACAAAGAATTGAAAGGCAGAGACACAATAGCAAAGCAGGGCAAAAAGTTTTAATTCAATAGATCCCAAAGGAGGAATGGGCCTAAGTCAAGGTAGACAAAGGCATTGATCTGTTAGGAGAGAGGCCTTTATATTACATCTGGCTAGGAGGCTCCTCTTTGATTGACAAGGTGGGGTCATTTGATGGACAGGTCTCATCCATATAGCTATCCCTCTCAGGGCACATGTTCTTTCCCATGATGAGCTGTGGTGTGGGCAGGTCTTAGTTTTGTTGGACTGAGCCCACATTGGGGTCTGGTGGGACGAATTTGGCCTGTTTCCAATAGGCAAAGAAGTTATCTCCCTGCAATGCCTTTGTTGTTTGTTGTTTTCATGGAGGACCTTCTTCCTGGGCAGAGTTTGGGCAGTTTTTTTCTTGAACCTTATCTTCCCCTTCCCCAGCTGCTCATATCTGCCTTTCTGCCTAACAGATATATGCAGCCAGATACCAGTCAATAAGTATTCATACTACAGGTTCACTGGAATTTTCTCCAGGTCTTTCCTATGTGTCTGTCTCAATCTAGAAACTCTCTAGCATTCATCTTGGCCTCCTAGGTGGATAACAAAGATTAGAAAGGAATATGAGTGGGACCTTTGCAGACTTCCTCTCTTCTTCACTTGCTAGATTGCTTTTTTTCCTTTAGACTTTATCTAGGAGAAATGGTTTGAAATTTTTAGAGCAGTGTGCATCATTTTTTTACCCTCATATACGCCTCAAACTTTTGAAAAATAATATACATTCTCCCCCAAAGTTAATATCTAAAACTGTTTCATAAAAGTAAGTAATTACAAAGTATGTTATAACCAGCATGTTGTATATTGTATTTGTGCTATACATATATTTTTTTCCAAAATCCTGTAGCTACAGATTTAAATTACTCAATATATGGTAAATGGTAAAAAGCCAGTCCTTAATATCAAACTAATCAACCGAATCAGGCTTACTTCATTATCAATTCAAATAAAAATGTTGACATATCTTGAAATGACTATCTCTTCTGAAATCTCAATAGGATTATAAAGCAGTAAAACAGAATGATGGATGATAGATGATAAATAAATAGAGAGATAATAGGTAGGAAAGAAATTGTCTACCATAAGCATGGGATCTTACCCTGAAATTTTGGTTTGATGGAAAAAAAGGCATAGCCAACTTCAATCTCTCACCAAAGCCCTTTCTGCATCCCCAGTAAGACCCTTCCATCAGCACCCAGGCATTTTCTAACTGTCCCTTGGTTTGGCACAGTTGACAGAGAAGTAATATAGTTCTCTTAAGCAAAGTAGGAAAAAGATCATTGCAAAAAGGGAAGTTGTAAAGGAAAAGCTGGGATGCCGTGAAGCAGAATGGTGTGAACAAGTTTAAGGAGTTTGTGTAGAAGTTAAAGTTCTAGAAATTTATCATCACAGAGCTATGTGACCATGTACCCATAGGAAATACTTTCTGACTCCCAAGGTTACATGTGTACGGATTTTGAAGACCATTGCTTAAAGTAACTCCCAACCAGCATTATTGAGATAGAATTGGCATTCAACATGGTATAAATTTAAGGTCTTAAAGTGCTTTTAATTTGCAGAGTCCTTTTAATATGCAGAGCTTTAATTCCAATAAGTTCTTATTCAGGTAGCCTAAATGAATACTTGGATTTGACTTGAAGAAAACAGGACTCTAGTAAAAGAATAAATTGGTGAGGAAGAAACAAATACCACTCTAAGAGAAACTAAGGTGAAGGATTCATCCACAGAGGTTGAGTCTCTTGAAGGCATGGAAGTCTGTTCCTTTCTAAGCCGGCATTTATGAAAACCTGGACAAGAAATAGAGGCTCCAGGAAACCAAGCAAGTCTACCTTCCCATTGACGGTGTTCGTGTTGGTGACAAATTCACAAAATATTAGGGAAGGCTAGTAAATGACTGATGTAGAATGGAGTCATTTTCTCCTTCACAGCTTACTTTCTTGAATGTTTCTTTTTCATAATGCTTTAAGAAAATAATGCCTATGTGAAATAATTAATAAAAATAATGTTGTTTGCTACTGAACTTTACAACCTGGCAGAGAACTCTATTTTCTATTTTTTAAGGATAAATAGAGATCTGTTTCTTCTATTAAAGTTTGGGCCTGCCATCCTCATGGGCAAAAATCAAGGAGAAAATAATATTTTGCTTGCATAGTTTATGTACCTGCATTTAGCCATATTTTTGTATTATATTCTACCAAACCCTGTTTTATTTTTTCTTTGTCATATATGATAGCTTGATCTTTTAATTTTATTTAGTGGCATTGTACAATTCAAAATGTTATATATTTATTTAATATATTTATATCTTTATATATATTTTTTCTTTTCCAAAGAGACAATTATAATATTTTGTGTCATTTAGGATGATTTAAGGTTTTTTTTTCATGTAATATTTGTTCTCTTTAAAAAGAACCCATGGGTAAGCTAAGTACTCCGCCAAATTATACCTCCATAAGATTGTTGCTCTGTTGTTGTAATGCACTGTTAAAAGTAAATGGTGAAACTGCAGTAAGCTTCTGTTTTACATCAACTTTCTCTAGAAGAGCTTGGCACCTTGAGGCAAGGATTCTTATGCAAGGGAGTGCCCTGAGGAGAAATTTGTGATGTAATGAGGGAAGCAGGATAGGGAAGCCAATGGTACAGAAGTAGGTACAGAAGCCAAGCACTAGCCTGAGGTTTCAGCTCAAGTCTAGCATCAGCCTGACCCGTAGGGAGCTCTAGAAAGTGATTAACACTGTAGTGTTCCCCTACCTTGAGAGAAAAGGAGCCAAGCTTTGTACTCCTACATCAGTCAGTTATTGGCTGCAGGGGTGCACATGGGGGTAGAAAGTGAAATTTCTCAAACATTTCCAGGTAAGATGACTTCTAGCAAAGGGTAATTTTTTCCTATGAACAGTTAACAACCAGTATTCTCAGCAGAGGGGGATGGATTCTGTACTGTCTAGAGAATGGGGACCTGGCTGAAGCCCCACCAGCCTCTACTACAGCTGCTAAGCCAGTCAAATATGCAAAGAATTAATGTCATTAAAATGTTAAGATCTTTAATTAAAATTTATTAACATTCAACCCAAAATAAGATCTTTCATGGGTGTCCATGTGTGTGCTTGTGCGTGTGTGTGTTTGTAAGAGAAAGACAGAGACAGAGAATGAGATACAGACTAGAAGAGAGAGAATGTTAATTTGATACAGCTCAGAGCTCTACTGCCAAGCTTTTAGGCAATGGTTCAGTTAAGCAAAAGTCCTCTGGCAGTAATATAGGTTTGTGTGATTTATTTGCTGTGTAACCTTGGGTCATGACTTAACTTTTCTGAATCCATTTCATCGTCTCTGAAATTGCAGTCATAATACCTACCTGTGCATTATGTGTAGAAGGTTGCTGGTCAGCAGGAGATACTCAGTAAATAGTGGCTCTCTTATTCTATATAAAGCAGGGTATTATATTGTTCTCCATTTTATGACCTCAGACACTTACTTTGAAGACAAAAAAATAAGCCAAGGGGGTGAATAAAGCTGTGAAAGTGCAAGTGTCTCCTGTGCTGGAGACGTATGCTCATCACTGAGCGTCAGGTGTGCACAAGGAATCTTACCATTTGGCTTTATGTTTTCATTTGAAATGATGAAGTTCTCAAACACTACTGAGGTGAATAAGGAAATGTGCCTTTCAAGCACACCATTGCATCAACAAAACTGGTTGGCATTATATAGAGATTTCTAAAGAGAATTACTCTTTATATAATACTCAGATTTTACATCCAGCAAACAGTAAACACAACTTGGAAAGGCAAGATATTTAAGACAGTCGCTAACATATTCCAAAGCAATGCATTATTATATAACCCACAGGCATGACTAGATGACTGACCTTCGTGGGGCTTTCTGTTTTTCTACTGGTCACCACTAGATGGGGAAAAGATATGAAAATTCACTTCAGACCTGTTTAAAAATAAAAGTAATGCCATGGATCTCTGAAACTGCTCAGGCAAATCCATCCACCTGGCTCATCAATTGTCACAAAGAATAT